ATCGTTAAAAATATCCTCATCCTTTTCTTCATATTTATCTTAATTTTTGCATATTCCTCTTCACCTTTACCTTAAAGAGTTTAAATTTACTTTGATCTTCGTTTTTTCCTGTACCTCTAGGCATCTTTGTTTTTGTTTTTATTCTCAAACCGCTAAACCGCAGAGAACCATTCCCATGTGCTTTATTCCCCTTGAATTTGACAATTTTCTCCCAACCAACCAACTGCCGCTAAAGAAGTTTCACTTCATAAATTCAAGAAATGTTCTTACCCTTTCAGTTACTCAAATTCTTATATATCTGTCATTGTCGCTATTTTCGTCTTTATCTTCACTTTTGCCTTCTTTTTTTTTACTTCACCGTTATCATTTATTTCTTCACATTCATATTTTTCTTTATTTGCAAATTGAACAGGTTGCAAAACCAACCACACACAAATATAGAAATTTTTAACGACGATTTTCAACCAATTTCGAAACTATAAAAACTTTCCTCATCTACATAAAATTACCTTTCTAACGGGGTTTTTGGTTTTGAAATCGGCAAATTTACCTAGGTTTTCATATTTGTTTTTATCTTTCACATCTTTGCTTTTATCCTTTTCTTTATCTGTTCACGTAGATGAGATGAGGTGCGATGACGTGATAAGATGTGACGTGATTTTATATGCTGTGATAGGATGTGATGTGATAGGATGTCATGTCATATTCTGTCATATCCTGTGATGTCATATCATATGATGTCATACCATATGATGTCATATCATGTGATGCCACGTCATGTAATGCCATATAGAAAAATATAACGATTGCATAATCGATTGATTCATCGATAAATATCACAATCATCAGTATCGATTATTATACATATCAATATCAATTACTAAATCGATAACAAAATCATTTATTTAATCGATTATTATACCGATAACAATATCCATTATTGTATCGATAAAAATATCGATTATTATATCGATAACAATATCGGTTGCAATAGCGGTGATTTAATCAATAACAGTCTCGATAACGATAACGATTATTTTATCGAAAACAATATCGAGTTTCATATCGTTAAAAATATCCTCATCCTTTTCTTCATATTTATCTTTATTTTTGCATATTCCTCTTCACCTTTACCTTAAAGTGTTTAAATTTACTTTGATCTTCGTTTTTGCCTGTACCTCTAGACATCTTTGTTTTTGTTTTTATTCTCAAACCGCTGAGAACCATTTCCATGTGGTTTATTCCCCTTGAACAGGGGCACAATAGACCTATTGGTCGCAGTGCCATACCCAACCAACTATCTATCTCTATTCCCCTTGAATTCGACAATTTACTCCTAACCAACCAACTGCCGCTAAAGAAGTTTCACTTCATAAATTCAAGAAATGTTCTTACCCTTTCAGTTACCCTAATTCTTATATATCTGTCATTGTCTCTATTTTCGTCTTTATCTTCACTTTTGCCTTATTTTACTTCATCGTTATCATTTATTTCTTCATCTTCATATTTATCTTTATTTCAAAGCTTAATTTCAAATGTGAAGTGAAACAACATGCAAAACATGTCAAATTGAACATGTTGCAGCAACATCTATACACAAATACGAAAATGTTTAAACGACGATTTTGGCCGTAATTTTCAACCAGTTGTGAAACCATAAAAACTCTACGGAAAAATGCCTTTCCAACGGTGTTCTTGGTTTGGAAATCGGTTCGGTAGAGTCGCCAAACGAACGGAGACAAAATTTATGTTATATTAATACAATATATAGATAAATTCAACTATTTCCTTTAATTTAATTTTAATTATAATAAAAAATCTAAGCAAGCAATGAAAGTGAATTAAACTATATTAAAAGGTTAATTCTTTAATATATTCTCTATCTTCCACACTATTTACATAATATAAAAAAGTCCCTTTTTTTATCATTTGGAACTCGAAATCGTTGAAAACACTGTTTGCATCAGACGCGTGAGCGACTTATTCTCTTCATTCTCTCCTCGTTTAGCGAAATTTAAATATATATTAGTGTGTGAGCTTTGGCCACCTCTGTTTTAGAAATATATTGTTTTTTTACGTTTTAGTCTGTATAAGAATTTTAGGAATATCCCGAATACCGAGTAAATTTTTGGCGGAATATTTCTTTTCAAGGTGCTGGCATATGTTTCAAATATGAACCAAATCGGTGCAGCCGTTTAGTAGTTCAGTGAAATACATTCACAGATACCTGTATGAAATTGTAAAGCGTAACGTCTCAGATTTCTTAATTTTTTGGCAGCAACAACAAAAAGTTTTAATTTTTTTAGCGAAAAATCTTCCACACAGAAGTTTCAAAAAATTGCGATTGGTTATGCTTGAACACACTTAGGGCCGTTTTCTAATGTAAGCAGTAAAGTTGCCTTTACTAACAGGGCAGATAAATTGTTCCTCACTTTANCAACCAGTTGTGAAACCATAAAAACTCTACGGAAAAATGCCTTTCCAACGGTGTTCTTGGTTTGGAAATCGGTTCGGTAGAGTCGCCAAACGAACGGAGACAAAATTTATGTTATATTAATACAATATATAGATAAATTCAACTATTTCCTTTAATTTAATTTTAATTATAATAAAAAATCTAAGCAAGCAATGAAAGTGAATTAAACTATATTAAAAGGTTAATTCTTTAATATATTCTCTATCTTCCACACTATTTACATAATATAAAAAAGTCCCTTTTTTTATCATTTGGAACTCGAAATCGTTGAAAACACTGTTTGCATCAGACGCGTGAGCGACTTATTCTCTTCATTCTCTCCTCGTTTAGCGAAATTTAAATATATATTAGTGTGTGAGCTTTGGCCACCTCTGTTTTAGAAATATATTGTTTTTTTACGTTTTAGTCTGTATAAGAATTTTAGGAATATCCCGAATACCGAGTAAATTTTTGGCGGAATATTTCTTTTCAAGGTGCTGGCATATGTTTCAAATATGAACCAAATCGGTGCAGCCGTTTAGTAGTTCAGTGAAATACATTCACAGATACCTGTATGAAATTGTAAAGCGTAACGTCTCAGATTTCTTAATTTTTTGGCAGCAACAACAAAAAGTTTTAATTTTTTTAGCGAAAAATCTTCCACACAGAAGTTTCAAAAAATTGCGATTGGTTATGCTTGAACACACTTAGGGCCGTTTTCTAATGTAAGCAGTAAAGTTGCCTTTACTAACAGGGCAGATAAATTGTTCCTCACTTTAAAGTGTTTTCGTTTTCTTATCGTACCTGTAAAAATAAATTTGTTATTCCGTAGAGTGAAACTTCTCTACATTTCCGAGAGTATAACTTCACTACATTCGTCATAAAATTTCAAAGGTTGACAATGCAACATCGCGTCGCCTGGGTATAAGATTGTCGTAAGCGCCATTTTGACGATTTTTAATTCTAAATGCAGTATATATTTTGAAATAAGGTCTTTCGATTGGTGTTATCAGTTTTTAGATATCCCCTTTAGTTTCCGAGATATTGACTACAACTTTTTCGATAATATAGTAAAAATTTAGATGGTGATGCAGTCATATTAAACTAATCAATATCTTAAAAATGGTGTGGTTTGTCGTATTTCATACAAACTGGCTGCCAAATTGTGGACAAATGACGCTTACAACAAAATTTTACTAAAGAAAATCCTTCATAAACTCAAAACTAATTAAAAATAAACATTAAAAATTAAATTATTTAAGAATTTTGTGAACTAGTAACATTTCTAGAGACTTTGGAGAAAATCTATCTTCACGTTTTTATGAAATTGCATTCCAAACTTCAATCGTGATATCCCACAACCTGCCGAAATTAACATACGACAACCTTTTACCCAGGTGACGATAAGCAAATATAGAGCAAGAGCAACTGTTAGCAAAAACCAAAACCTTGGTTGAAATAAGTAACCGAAACCAAACCAAAATTTAAAGTTGGGTACAAATTTTTAAAGGTAGCATCGGGTAAGCAACTATTCATCGATTCGAGAAATTAATGCGCTGATCAGAAAACTAAAACTCGTATATCGAGACGATGAAGTGGCCGGTAATCTAATGGTTAGATGGGAAAACGGCCCTTAATTGAATGTCAGTAAAATTAAGTCTGTGGTTATATCAAGGCGAAACAGTCCGTTGCTAACTCTAAATATAAACAACGACGCACTAGAAAAAGTTAATACATTCAAATACCTAGGAATAGAGTTCGACCGATTCCAATTTTTTTTCAGGTACCCATGCCGATGCCGATGCCGATGCCGATTCCATAAAAAATTAAAGTAAATGTATTAATTCATAAAATCAGTTCATTTCACAGAGTTAAAAAAAATCAAAAGAAAAGAAATAACTGAATTAATTGGCTTGTTATGCAACATTACATACACATGTATGTACATACATACATATGTATGTGTAAAAATATATGTACATATATCACATTTATGTACATTACATAAAACACTCTTTTATATGGTGCTAAGCAAAAAATATTTAGGAACATAAAATTTCATTTCGTTTTGTACTAAAATACACTCTTTTGCACTCAATGCATAAGAACTTATATGCTACGTATGTAAGTACATACATATAGTGGTCCACAAAATAAACGAATTGTGATATTTTGACCGATTTCGTCTTTTTTATTTAATGTTTATTATTTTTTTTATAAAAGTCTAGCTGGTATACAACAAACACCATATAAATTCAGACTTCAAACTTTGTAGAAAAATTAGAAAAATTCTGCTTATTTTCACCAAAATTTCTAACTTTTTAATCAGAATTTTGGTATGCAGTTTTGTAGACCATTTCATTCTAGTATAATGAAGTGCAAGTTTCAAGCTGCTATAAAATCCCGTTAATTTTTGGCAATTTTTTTTGCTGGCAGTGTTCTCCATATAAAAGAAAATTGTCGCACATACTTTTGTATGGAAAAAACGTGAAACACCTTCAACAAAAAAAATCATTTTCGAAAGCTGTGTGCAAATTATGTAGCTAAACAAATTGATTTAGACAGAACTCTAATCTCATGCTCTAAACTAATTAAAAAAGATGTCTCAGCTCAATCCCTGAATAGGATTAATTTTAAATTAGGAGTCCCTGAGTCCTGTTATGAAAAATTACTATGCCCGGATATCTGGCCAACAAATGTTACCGTTAAGCCTTTTCTGAATTTTCGGAAGGGTCGACGAAAGCTATTACGGACGTAGCAAGTAGTACCCGACTGCACATACAAAGTAATAGAGAGCTGAAAATTTACTTTCAGAATTTATCTGGTATGAGAACCAAGTCTGAAATGGTGCACAACTTTAGTGAGCAAATGAATTACGACATCTTTGTTTTCGTCGAAACATGGTTGAATGAGAATTTTTTTGACGGTGAATTCTTCAACTCAAATCTGTTCAATGTATTTCGTAAAGATCGTGATGCTGAAAAAACTGGCTGCCTTCGAGGAGGTGGTGTTCTTATTGCCATTAAGCGTCAACTGCAAGCGTCTTTGGTCACACTTTCGAATGGTGATTCTTTACTGGATCAGCTTTGTGTTTGTGTTAACGGTTCCACACCGCAAGACTCTTTGTATCTTCTTGCGTCGTACGTGCCCCCGGGCAGCTCTTTCGAATTATACAAGGCCCACGCAGATAACATTGCTTCATTAGTCTTAAACAACGTTAAGGAGCATCACCTCTGCGTGCTCGGCGATTTTAACCTACCTAATATTAATTGGTCAACCAGCATTTCTAATAATTACGGTCTCACGCCAAATAATGTCAACTCAAGTCAAGAATTGTATTTCATCGATAATGTACTTAGTCTTAACTTAATTCAAATTAATAATTATTTTAATTCTCTAAATAGGCTACTGGATCTTATATTTATAAGTGACAATTTTTGTTGTGAAGTTAGTGAGTGCCTGAATCCAGTTACTTCTAAGGACAGACATCATCTACCACTTGTTGTCGAGTTTAGATTTTATCATTTTCCTCCGGTTACTACTGTGAGTAGACCAATCTTTAATTATTCTTCGTGTGACTTTGTAAGTCTTAATGATATTTTACTTGAAATAAATTGGGAGGAGCTACTTGGTGGGCTTGATACATCTGTCAGCTTTTCCGCTTTCAAGTCGATCGTATACACCCAATGTTTAGATAGGATCCCCCTGCGGGTAAAAAGAGCCTATAAATTACCTTGGTACACTAAAGAATTAAATAAACTCAAGAATCTTAAAAACAAATTCTTAAAAAAATTTCATAAGAGTAAGAATAACTTCTTCTTCAGTAAATATAAGCTATACTTAAAGGATTTTAATATTTTGAATAAAACTCTTTATTCCGAGTATATGCGCAAAATAGAGGGAAACATTAAATCGAATCCCAAAAGTTTTTGGAAATATCTTAAGGACAAAAAAAGTTCCGCTAGTGTGCCTACCGGAGTTTTCCTTGATGATTACTCGGCGAAAACTCCGGATGAGGCAGCTAACTTATTTGCCGATTTTTTTAAATCGAATTTTTCTGTGGACGATAGTAGTCTGCCGCTTGATTTATCGAATAGTCTGAACTCTGCCTTAAATTTCGGAGCTCTACATCTTTCTTCTGAGGATATTATTAGAGCTGTTAACGATCTCAAATCTTCTTCTCAAACAGATTTAGACGGATTTTCCCCCATCTTATTGAAAAATTGTCCGGCCCTGGTTTTTCCTCTTCAACTTATTTTCAACAAATCACTCTCGTCTGGGATCTTTATTGACGATTGGAAGGTTACGTCTATTACGCCTGTCTTCAAAAGTGGCAACAAAAATGATGTGCGTAACTACAGGCCCATTTCCAAACTGACCACCGTCTCCAAAATTTTTGAACATGCAGTCAATGCTAAGTTGAGCTTTGCGGTTAAGTCCCTTATTTCTCCCTATCAGCATGGTTTCGTTGCGGAGAGGTCGACGATTTCTAACCTTGCTGTCTTCAGTGAGTATTGCATTGAGTCCTTTTCGGCTGGCTCGCAGGTTGATTGTATCTATACTGACTTTTCAAAAGCCTTTGATAGGGTCTCTCATCGAGTCTTAATTTATAAACTGGGATGCCTTGGTTTTCATTCTTCCTTTCTGTTATGGTTAAGTTCATATTTATCCAGCAGGCGGAGTGTTGTCACTGTGGATGGGGTATCCTCTATTCCCTTTATTGCCTCTTCAGGGGTACCACAGGGGAGTATACTAGGTCCATTATTATTTAATCTTTTTATTAATGACATCAGTAATTGCTTTACATTTGCTAAATGTCTCCTGTACGCTGATGACCTAAAATTGTTCTCAATTATTAAGACGCCTGATGATGCAATGAAATTACAAGATGACATTTCCAAGTTACATCTGTGGTGTCATAAGTCTCATCTGTCCTTAAATGCATCTAAATGCTTTCACGTGACCTATTCTAAGTCATCTAATATTCTTCGCTCAAAATACAGTATATCAAATTGTGAACTTCAATGTCTTAGTGAGATTAAGGACCTTGGGGTTATATTTGATAGCAAGTTTTCTTTCAACAGTCATATTAGCCACGTAACCTCTAAATCGTACTCAATGCTGGGTTTTGTTAGGCGCAATACCGCAAAATTTTGTGACCCATATACTTTTAAAGTTCTCTATACTTCTTTTGTCAGGTCTCACTTAGAATATGCTGTCTTTATTTGGCGACCTAGTACTATGACAGCTATAAATAGACTGGAGAGAGTACAAAAACGTTTTCTTAAGTATGCTATTTGGTCGTTAAATTTTGTGGAGCCCATACCACCTTATGCTGATAAATCTCAAATCCTTGGAGAGTCGAAGATCTATACTCTCTTTGTCCTTTTCCTTCAAAATTATCAAGGGCCTAATTGACTGTCCATACTTATTAGAAAGGATTCGGTTTAATGTTCCTCAACGGCATCTTCGCAATGTGTGTCCGTTCTATGGGGTTAATACGAAAACGCAATACGCTTGTAATGCTCCTGTTAATCGTGCTTTACGAGAGTTTAATTCACTAAGTGATGCTATCACCTTGGATTTTTCGATGCAAAGTGATGCTTTTTTCTCGATGCTTAATTCTGCCTTATAAGTGGTTTGATTTATGCACAAAATTAGTTTGTAATCTATAAATTAGTTAAGTACATAGTCTGTAAGGATTGTATTCCAAAGACTTATAATTAAATAAATAAATAAATAAATAAATGTTTTTTAATGTTGGCTGTCGCTTCACCTGAACATTTGAAAAGAAATTCCAAAGTATCGGCGAAAAAAGGCCGACGCCGATGCCGATTAATTGTTCGGACGTAGAGTCCGTAGGAATAATGATCGACGATAAACTAAAACAAAAAAAGAAATGGATTCTATATTTTCAATTAGAGCTCTAGCAATATGTACATCGGTGAAAACTACATTCCATACATTAGTTTTTGCGTCATGCGGTTACAAACATACAGACAGACAGGCGAAGATTATAAACATTTTAGATTTGGCTTCTGTTGATATAATAAACCCCCTATTAATTTTTCTTTAACATCTATTATACAGATATCGGCCTGTTGCAATTTTATTATTCTCAAATACTTTCGTTTGATACCCATATGGCAACATTTAGGTTATCTTATAAATTGTACAGAATTAAAGTTTTCAAATAAGTGGCAACCCGTCTCAAAAATATTTTCGAAAGTAAGCTTCCTAATCCTCTTTAGTTTAATGACGGTATTGTAATATTTCATTTATTTATTTATTATTGTTTGATACCAATATTGCAATATTTAATTTATGCTATCAAGCTGTAAGCCTTTTTAAAACTCGTTCTTTTGACAGCCATATTGCAGTATTTACTTTACCGTATCAATTGACCTAAACTAAATTTTAAACATAGGTGGCAACTCTTTAATTTTTTTATTCTATATTGTAAGCTAGATCTCTAGCGATATATCGGTGAAAACTGGATTCAATTCCATGTTTTCGAGTGATGCGCGTACAAATATACAGACAGACAGAGAGTCGAAAATTATAAAAATGGTTTATTTTGCTTCTGTAGCTCTAATAAAAACCCACCATATTAATTTTTTTTTAATATCTATAAGGTACAGACATCGGCCTGTTACAATTTTATTATAAGTATAGATATAGATTTCATTTATTTTATCAATTTAATCCTCTAAAATTTTTCACACTGGTGGCAACGCTCCCTAAAAATATTTTGGGCAGTAAAATTTCCTAAACCTCTTCAGTTTGATACCCATACTGCAATATTCAATTTATCTTATAAATTAAATTAAACTAAATTTTCAACCAGGTGGCAACTCTACAAAAATATCTTTGGCTGTAAGCCTTCTTAAGGCTCTTTCTTTTGACGCCCATATTGCAATATTAACTTCTTATCAGTTTACTTAAACTGCAATTTTCAAACAGGTGGCAACTCTCTATTTTTTTTTCTATATTTTAAGCTAGACCTCTAGCAATACATCCGTGAAAACTGCATTCAAATCCATGCATTCGTTTTCGAAAATACATCGATACATCGATGTATATCGGAAGGTCCAAAACATCGGTTTTATTCGATATATTGAATAGCAAACATCGATGTTTCTGATGCATCGGTGTTTTTTTTTGCATCCCTAATTCTTGAATAAATTTTGGAAGAATTTTAAAAACCCGTACGTACATGCTGCATACTATACACCGCTCTTTTCCTTTTTCCAATCATTGCAGCCAGTGTTGCCACAAAGATTTTTAATTTTTTACCAAACCTCTAAAAGAAAATTACCAAACTCAGAAAAAATTACCAAATTTTTATGAGCATAATATTCTAAATAAATTGGAAATTATTTTTCGACGTATGTAGATAATACACCACGTCTGGGTTTGTGGCCAGTTTAGATCTATTTATATTTTTCGACCGAAAAATGAGTTCTTCCCATTCTTTTATGACAAACTCATAAAAATGCATGATGTCGCTGCCGTGTTCAAAAAATTCATATCACCATCGACTGAGCGTTTAGATAACGAAGATGAACAATTTACAGCTGTGGTTGTCCTTTTCAATGTGTTCCGACTATAACAATTCACAAGTATTTTTAATGGCCGGTTGTTGAATGTATTTAACCGGACCTTCTACCTCCGATTTGTACTAATCAGACATTGAACAATCGGCCCTAAAACATAAAACAAAAAAATCGCTCAGAGATTTACAAACATTTAAAAGGTGTTTAATGGTTCTTTCTACTGCAGTTTATGCCTATTGGAAAAAAGCAGATTACAACTCGAAGGAGGTAGTTGCTCATATTAGGTACAAGCAAATGAAAGAAAAATAACAAAAACGAATAAATAAACATTGCAGATCACCTCTTGTTAAAAATATCTAAACTCTTGACTGTAGCTAAGCGTTTGGTGGAAATGGGCTGTAACATACAGTCTTTTACATAATTTATTTTACATAACTTAAAACCAAAACATGAAACCAGCAAATGTATCGTTAAACGGTAGATAAAATTTACTTTTACTATTTTATAAGTGGATCACATTCGTATTTAATGGCAAACTTTTAATTAGTCCCGTGAAATTATTTTCTTTCACCATTGGTTCCGGCAGGTAAAAATTATCCAAAATCCAGATTTGTGGGACTGTAGGGGCTGTGATCGAGCCGCCATATTGGGAAAAATGGGTGGTTTCCTGCTATATTGCAAACTCATACTAAAAGTTCTGAGTTGTCAAGGCAAATTGTTACATTAAAGAGCCCTTTCAATTTTTGGCTCTCTTAAGGTGTAGATACATACATATGTATGTAAGTACATAAGCAAATTTTTTTGTTTTGTGCAATTGTCAGAAGGTTTAAAGTTATAAATTTTTTTATATTAGTATTAAAAACTTAAAAGAAACGTCTTACGTTAAAAAAATTACCAAATTGAGAAAAAAATTACCAAATTACCAAACTCCTTCTAAAAAGAAAAAAATTACCAGTTTTTGTAAAAAATTACCAAAGCGGCAACGCTGATTGCAGCTGCTCCATCACTGCAAATATCAACACACTTGCCCCATTTCAAATCATTTCTCTTTGTAAATTTGTCGATAACTTCCAAAATTTCGTCGCCAGTGGTGTAAGTCTCAAGTACTCCGCTCATCAAAAGTTCNTGTAAAAAATTACCAAAGCGGCAACGCTGATTGCAGCTGCTCCATCACTGCAAATATCAACACACTTGCCCCATTTCAAATCATTTCTCTTTGTAAATTTGTCGATAACTTCCAAAATTTCGTCGCCAGTGGTGTAAGTCTCAAGTACTCCGCTCATCAAAAGTTCTTATTCGATTTGCATTGAGAATGGGTACTCCACAAACACAAGAACAACAGCAAGTCTCACTACGTCGGTACTTTCGTCAAAGCTGTAAACTACTAAGCAGAGGGCGATGAGAAGGCAACATTTTTTGTAGAAACGAAATCGCCATAAAAAATTTAAAGATTTCAATATTTTTATATGTTAAAATGGTTGTAAAAAGGATACGTTTTCGGCTGTTTTTCTGAAAATTTTCTTATTAAAGTTTTCGTTGACAAAACGTACGCTTACGAGCGAAATACACCCACAAGCGTCTTGACAAACCAAGGGAAATATCCCTTTGCCTCAAGCAATTTGTGTTGTGTATGGGGATATTTGAACAAAAATCTAAATTCTTTGATTTTCTGGCTGCCATGTTGACGTTTGATCAAACCGCTTGCGTTGTGTATGGTAAAATCGCCTCATTTGCAACGAAATTTTTACCGAGTGAGGACGCAGGAGAGAAAAATGGAAACATTTTTTACATTGTGAACCGGAGGAAAACTAAAATTCTTTGCCTGAACGAGTCATGCTTGCATGGTGTATGGTGAAATGGAGAAAGTAGGTTTGGATTATGTTTGACAAGCAGCTTGTGGAACAGTAGACACAAGATAGTAAAACTGTTGCCATATACTAAAAATTAACTCTACTGCTTAATTACAAAATGTTAATGAAAGTTTAAAAAATGTTCCTGTACTACTAAATAGTATACTCTAGCCGCTAGCGGCACCCACTTTGGGAAGGCCTGCCCTAAGTGTTTGAAAAACCGAAGAATACACTAAATAAAGCAAGTACCAGTTGTAAATATTCGCCGATTTTTTTAATGCATATATCTTTTTTTAATGCAGATATTTTGTTTTAAACAGCGGTGTGATTAATTCAAACGTGTTTTAAAACAAAAAATAAGTGTCAACATATTTTGTTACAGAACTTTTTCTAAGACTTGTTGATAACTTAAACAAATTAAAGAGATAGATCTGTAGTTTTGGAATTTGTTAATAAATTGATCAAATTAAGCATTCTGAATTTTTTATGAACATTACAAAATGTTGTTTTACATACTTCAAAGTATCTAGATGAAATAGATTTATTATTTAAAACGTTTAAATAACATAGGGTTTTGGCCACTTTTTCAGCCCACTGTCCAATATACCAATTTTTTTACTTTTTGCTAATTACTTACAATAAAAGGTTTTTTTGAAAAAACCTTATATAAAAAAAAATGGGGAAATTAAATTCAACTTTGTTTACGAACAAGTAAGAAAGTCTAAGTTCGGGCGGAGCCGAACATTAAATACCCGGCGCACGTATTATTATGTTTTTCACCTTTCCGCAAGCTACCGCTACATGGTAAGCCATGGTATCAATTTTGAGTAAGTTAGCGTCCTTAAATTGCGAAATATTGAAATTTAAAGCATTTCTGAAATTTATTGTTATATGAAAAGCGGCCGTAATTTTAGGCCGATTTCAATAATTTTCAACGCTTTGCTTTAATGCGGCATGCACAATAACCGTACCAAGTTTGGTGCAAATTGGTAGAACGGTTACCGAGATACAT